TCTTCATCAGTAAGTGCTTCAAGTCCTCTTCCCTTAAAGCAAGTAAGGTTGTGTCACCTGCATATCACAGGTTGTTATTGAGTGTTCCTCCAATCCTGATGCCACGTTCTTCTTCATATCATCCAGCTTCTTGGATTATTGGCTCAGCAAACAATTTCCTCAGCTTCAATTTACCATATAGGAAATGAAAATAATAATAACTTGTGGGTCGTGAAGAATCAATGAAAGTACATGAAACACTGACCACAAGACTTTGCATGCAATGAGTACTCAAGAAAAGGTCCTCACCCCTCCTTCCCTTTATTCTCTGATTCCCACTCTCACATATGAGATGGTGCAGATCTGGCCTAGCTCTGGCCTAGAGTATTGGCTTCACTCCAGAAATTCAAAGACATTACAGGACTATCTAGAATTCCCAGGAAACCAGGTTAGCCTGACCTCAACAGCTTCTGTTCCCTCCAAGCCTCTCCTGATACTTAGGAAAAGCATCAGAGGTTGCTTGAGAAATGCTTAGGAGAAAGTCCCTGGCATCAACCCAGAACTGACGCAGCCATGTGAGTTTGGAGCTGAGGGGAGGGGTGAGGAAATTTTTTTTTTCCTTTTTTTTTTTTGCTTCACTTTCCTGGACAACCACAGACAGGACTTGGGGCATTGCTGGGTAGATTTTGAACATTTTTGACCAAGAGCCACATCAATCCCTTATGAGAATCCTGCTAGTGCTAGAGGAAGGCCAAATCTTTTAAGAATAAAAGAGTAGAAGAGTGAAAGCCCTCGTTTACACAAAGCAACAATGAACAACTCTCAACCTCTTTAAAGAATTGCTTGTTCCTCTCGTGGAAACTCTTCTCATAAAAAAAGAAAAATTTTGGAGAAATATTGTGAAATTGTTTCTGATTTTTAAGTATGACATGTTTACTTGAGGTTACTTATCACTTTTTCCAATCAACCATGGTTAGCATTCTCTTCCATATTTTAGGGCTTGATTTGGAGGCTCATGGAAGAGAAAAGTTCCTTACAAAAGGTGAAATGAAGTGATAAAGGTTTCTGTTTCCATTCTCCTCCACGGAATTGGCTGTCTCGCCCAGTGTGTTCCTCTAGTTCTTGGAAGACCTTAAAATGAGGGGAGCTCATGAGGCATTTAAAATGTGGGGGTGGGGAAGGGAGAATGAGGAGAATCCCATGCCTCCTTTGAAGTTTTTTTCTAGAGTCTCAGTATTACTTTTCCTTTATTCCATTGGTGGATTTAGAAACGTAATTCTACTTCGGATTTCTCATATGGCTTTGAATATGGAATCTTTCATCGTCTTTACTATTTCAGTTTCTTACTCAATAAAATAACCAGATTTGTTTTCCTGACTCACAAGAAGTTGGAAGTATGACCCATCATCTGGTTGGGGGAAGGGGGCAACATGTCTAGACTGGACTGAGTCCATGTCAGAAATCAGCTTGTCTTTGATAGTATCCTTCAGCCCAGGAAAACACTGGGACTAAAGCAATCTTTCCAAGAATGCTCAAAATCAAAGCCCTTCCTTCACCCTACATCTCCCAATCTGAACCATCATCTGAAGCACTCATCTATGGTAAGAGGGATAAGAATGGGAGATTGGGAAGGGATAGTATCAAAGGTTCTATCTGTATCACATTTTTTGTTTCTAAATTGGAGTCCTCTATTGACAAAGGTAGACCTTACTGAATGTCTTAAAATGTCAGCTTTAAAATATAAATTAAGTTGTTATAGAACATCCTGTTCGATGACTGCAGTAATAGTCCATGTCGGTGTGAGCTGAGGTGTTCACTGTCCTGACTGACCACTCTGTCTCCGTGAGAATTTCCACTGTTGCTGTCTTTAAAGTGTCTTCCCATAGGATGACTCTCTTTAGTGTAAGGGTGGGAGAAGAAGGGTAATTAATCTCCTCTTCCTGTCAATTTTCCCTCAAAGCCTTTTTCTCTCTCAAGGATTTGCCCTAGAGGCACTGAATTTGAGCTCCTTAATGAGATTATGTTAACCCATTACACCTTTCCTCTGAGTCAGTGAATAGAAAGAAATTATTGGCTAAGTAATCATTGTAGCTTTTGTTTTTAGTTTTAGAAGATTATCTAGTGTTTATTTTTTAATTTAAATGTAATACATACTCAACAGAATTTGGGGCAAACAGTGTTTTAAAATCTCCACACTGTACCTAGAACATGCCTTAAATTGTATGGTTTTATTCATTATAGGAGCCCTGGTGGTGCGGTGGTTAACAGGTCGGCTGCTAATCAATAGGTCAGCAGTTCGAATCCCCCAGCCACTCCTTGGAAACCCTATGGGGCAGTTCTACTCTGTCCTATAGGGTCGCTATGACTATGAGTTGAAACCGACTTGACCACAACCAGTTTGGTTTGGTTTATTCACTTATACACGTATACACATATATATGTTCATTCCACAAACGCTTACTGAACCAGACAGTGGGACCACAAAAGGGATCCATGCCTGAGAGGGCTCGTGATGGGATCAAACTCAGGAAATCAAATATTCATCTTTATAATCTTATACTACACTGTACATGCAAAGTGTTAAAAGACTTAGAGGGAGGGGGATAGGGTGACAATGGTGAGCCACAGAAAAGGCTGTCTTCTCAAGCTTTTAGCTGAGTCTTATAAAAGTCAGGCACAGAAGGAAAAAGAACATTCCACACTGAAGCAATGGCAAGTTCAAAATTGCAGTCCAGAAAGAATATACCATGTTCAAGGCACAACAACAAAGAAATGGTTCATGGTTGATGAATAGTGCGTGGGGAAGGAGAGGGTATTTGTCCTTTGGAAGACAGGCAGAGGCCAGACTGAAATGCTTTGGATGCCACACTTGAGAGTTTGGACCTTATCCTATTAACACCAGAAACCAATAAAAGTTATTAAGCAAGGGATTTCCTTTGATCAGATTTATGTTTTAGAAAGATAACTCTGGGTGGGGGTCAGCATAGAGGACGGATTTCAATTTAAGATTAGAGCATTATTTCTCTCAGCCTACCTGCGTGAGAAATTGAGGGGAAGGGCAAGGCATACTAAAATGAAGATTTCTGGGGCCCACTCTTTAACTAATGAATCAGTTTCGCTGGGCTCCAGGCCTGGGAATCTGCATATGCAGCATCTCTAACATAACAGTGATTTTTATGGGTTCTGAAGGCTGAGGCAGATACTAGAGTCAGAGGGCATGTTGAAGAGGAAAATTAATAACACACGTCTTACTTTGATTGTAAGGTTTTTCTTATCCACCAAAGCAAATATAAAAAGCCTGCCAGAAACTGCTCTACAGCAATGTAAATTTGTCTTATCGTCCTAGAAAAGGATAGTCAACAAGCTATTACCTCCTAATTTAAATTTCAAAATGTCTTTTGTCTGTAGGAAGGCGGAAGACCAAATTTTTAGCAGCCAGGCCAGAGGTAACCTGATATCAGTTGATCTCAGTAAAAGGAGGAAGGCAAGATTCAGTCAATCACGTTAAGATTAGCCAATGGCTGATCTTCTATATTTCTCTCTCCTCTTCTATTCATAAGTCCCATTGTGCCTAGCTTCTACAGCCATTTGCTTTTTCTGGAATCACAATGCCTTCCCTATAGGGTCGCTGCGAGTCAGAATGACTTGAAGGCAATGGGCTTTTTTTTTTTTTTTAATGCATATAGAATAACTGCTCTGAATAAGCCTTCTGTTCAAATTTCGGTGAGTTTTGATTAGCTACTACCAGTTCGGAAGCTCTTTTTTGAATTGGATCTGTACATGAGGCCCCTCCAGGCAAGCTCACGAAGAAAAACAACTGTTTTAAGTCAGTTAAGTAATTAAGCACTAAACTGTTTGTTCCAGACTGCTACGAGATCTTGGACAAGTCATCGGATACCTTAACGACAGTATTTTTAAATGACAAAGCACTTCATATGCAGAATCTTCTTTGAGTGTCACAAATTCCTGTGAGTTGACGTGTTTGTCACTTTCATTTAACGGATTATGTTTAACAGGGAGATTAGATGTTTAACAGGAAGATTAAGACATTCTTATGTTTACTTGTTTCTTGTCTGTCTCCTCACGCACTGTAAGTCACCTTGCAGACCGGTGACGCTGATGAGTCTCCAGTGCACTGAAGTGTTTGATACACAGTAGGCGCAGTCAATACTTTCTGAAGGAAAGACAGAAAGGCAAGAACAAAAAGACGGAAAGAAAGAATGTAACGTCATGAAGAGATGCCATCTTTCCTTCTACTACTATTTATTCAACACCTGCGCGGTGCTAGATGTTAAAGATACCTGCCCTCCAGGTATTGACATTGTCGCTTCTGGTTTTGATTCTGCTACTCAAGAGGCGTGAAACCCTGACAAGTCATCTACCTTACGCTTCAGGCTTTAGTTCCTAGTTTGCAAAATGTGGCGCTGGTCAAAAATGAGATGATAATCCCATCAAAAGTGAGATGACACTTCAACCCCCCCCCCATTTCACTTTGTAACTCATCTGCTTTACCCCTTTGCTTCAGTTCCCCCTTTTGCAGTGAGCGCAGGAACCTGCCAGCCGCCACCTGGCCCAGGTTCTCGGCTGGCGGAACAGAAGTGTAACCACTCCCCAGAACTGGCTCCTCCAAAAGCTGTAGAAATACTAAACAGTAACCGATCTAGTGGCGGAAAACAACGTGGCGCACTAATTGCTCCTTTTCCTCCAAGTCAGGGGCGGAGGAGGCCGGCCTCGCGTCCTCCCTCCAGGCAGCGCTGGGCGCGGCGCGCGGCTCTGCAGACACGAGTTTTCCCGGGTCTGGAAGGGTGGAAGGGGCAGGCGGCAGCCCTCCCTCCCCGGAAGGGGACGGGGCTTCAAATAAGGGCCGGGGGGTGGGCAGGAGGAAGGTTCCCATTGGCCAGCAGGCGGGTGACGGCAGGGGCGGGGTTTCTCGGGTGGGGAGTCAAAGGCGGGGGTGTGAACAGTCGAGTGTCACTTTCAGAGTCCCTGCCTCCTCACCCCAGTACCGTGGCCCTCCAGCTAAGGCTTGTTCCCTGTGTGGGCCAAGAGCTTCAGCCGCTGGGCACCCCCACCACGCCGCATCCCGCTCGCCATCCCCCAGCCCCGGGGTTTGCGCGCTCGTTTCTTCCGAAGTGCTGCGCTCCCGGCGACTTTCTGTTTGTTTCCTTTGTTGCTCTGAAAACCGGTACTGAAAAACCCCTCACTTCGCAGGGAGTTGCACTTCCAAGAAAGGCGGTTGCCGCGGGCTGCAGCGACCCCTCCAGCGCCCCCCGCCACCTTGGTTCGTTCGCCCGAGGAAGCCAGTCGAGAGCTCATTGATGCACCCATTCCAGTGGTGTAACGGTGAGTCCCCGGGCGGGGAGCGAACGCGGGGCTGGCCCGAGACACGGAGGGGGCGCAAGGTTGAAGATGGGACGGAGGGCTCGTTCACCCTCTCGAGCTAAGTTTCCCACGAAATGCGACGGGCGAGCAAGCAAGCCTCCCCGCGCTCAACTCTGCTCCGCGGAGCGCGGCGTTGGAAACATCCGGCGGTGACTGCCGGGCTGGGAAGGCTTGTAGCGTTTCTGAGCAGGTGGCGGGCCGGGGGCGAGGGAGCCGAGGGCTTCGCGGCCTTTGTGTGGCTGCTTCGCTCTGGTCTCCCCTTCGCCTGCCTTTGTGCGCTCCAACTCCGTTCTTTGTTGTGGTGGTCGGAGGAGAATGCAATCCGCGCTCGGACCGGGATCTCCTAGAGGGAGCTCAAGTTCCGCAGCCTGAAACTTTGCAGGCTATTTTAAATATGTATACAATGCAGCGTGCGGGACGGGGCGCGGGGGCGGCTTCCTCTCTGCTTGTCTGTGTTGGCTTCCCACGGGCTGCTAGGGTGACTTTTGTGCCCATGGCAGACGCCTGATTTAAAGAGTGTCGCTTTATTGAATTGATAAAGCCTTGCGGATATGTGGGCGCCCGGCCATCCTGGAGGTGCGGGGCTGGCGTCCTGGCCCGGCGGGAGCTGTGCTCTGCAGCTCTCAGGCCAGACTGCGGGGCCTACCCCCGAGCTTTGGTGGTGGCCGCCCCTCCTGACACCTTGCCTGGATGCTGCTGCTGAGTTCATCTCACCGGAGGCTTTTTGGCGGTTCAGGTGATACGGATTGGGCTCCGGGTCTGATGTCCTGAGCCAAGTTACCTGAGAGGAGGGTCTTTCTGAGCGAGTCAGTTCAAAAGCCTGAAACCCAATACCTTCCAATGGTACTAGGGTCTTGACCGGGTTGTTCAGAAGCTTGGAGGGTTTCTGGGGAAGGAACAACCAAAAAACAAAAAAAAAACAAAAAACCAAGAATAAACTAGCTGCCGTTATCTCTGAGTACGGCTGACTGATTAGTCAGGAAAAAAAAAATCCATTCGCGAGAACGGACTCCTGCCCGATCTTGGATTAATTATATTTCGAGAGGCTTTTGTTTTAAGGCTGGGTTTGGGCAGCATGCGTATGAGTGTCCCCCATCCCCCTCTTCCTCCTTTGGTTAGTCGGATCTAATTTCCTGAAAATGAACCAAGCTGTGTGTGATAGGCGGGTGTTACGGGAGAGGGGGCGTGTTATGGGGGGGAGCGGGGGTTGAGGAGGACGGGTGCATCCCAGCATCTGGGAAGAATTCCCGTTGGCGGGGTAGGAGAGGCTGTTCCCAGATCCACTGGTCTTCCTTGGCCAGCCCTTCTGTTGACGTCATTCCCGCTCCCAGCCTCCGCGCTGAGATGAGACATTCTGACGTCCAGGCTTTCATAGGTCGGCGGAGACAATGGAACAGAGGCTGTGGGAGAAGAACCCACGCCGTCGGTTACACCGCCCTGGCTTTTTCTGGGCATTTCCCTCACAGGAGTGAGGTTTTTAGACTCACCCTGGACTTGCTCCTTTCTTTCCACTTCTTAAAGTGATAGAGCTCTTGTTCTTTGACTCCAGTGAGGAAGCAGTCCCTTTCACCCCTTTGTGGAAAATATCAGGAGCCCCTCTTTTCCTGGGGCGAGCACTCGCTGTCCTTATAAGTGTTAGACGAAAAACTACTCTTTTTTGTTTCTTTCTTTTTAATAAGTTATACAAGCAAATGGTCCCTATCCTCTTGGCTATGAAACTCTTCCTACCCACCTCTCTATCATGCAGTCCCAAGCTGGCGAACTCACTCCTGGAGCCCCAGAAACCAGTTGCTGTTGAGCAGAGTCTGACTCATGGTGACTCTATGTGTGTCAGAGTCGAACTGTGCTCCATACGGGTTTCAATGGCTGATTTTTCAAAAGTAGGTCGCCAGGCCTTTCTTCCGAGGTGCCTTTGGGTGTCAAACTTCCAACCTTTTAGTTAGTAGCTGAGTACATTAATCGTTTGCACCACTCAGGGACTCCTTGGGGCCCCAGGAGAAGCCTAGTAGACTGGATAAGATGGAGATAGAGATGGACGGATCAGAGGACTGTTGGGGACAGAGTGTCTGCAGAGAATACGCACATAGCATCTGCGGCAGCCGCTGCCACCACTCTGCTTGTTCCTATAACAGGAACCCAAATGAGGATCTTTGGGACCCTAAGTCCAGTTCATAAAATGGTGTGTGGAAAGGCCAAGGTGTATATGGGTTAGACTGTCCTTGTATTGCATCACATATTGCTGAGGCAGGAGGTGGGGACATTAGCCTGCTGGGAAGGAAGGACTCGTTGGCGTTGAGGATAGCTCCCTGGAAGGGAGAACCCGAGATCCTACTCCAGAGTGGACTGAAGGTTGTCCCTCTCTAGCCATCCACCATGCTGCTTCATGGAAAATTGATCTTTGGCTTCTGTAGAAAGCAAATGTTTGAGTAGGGGAGGTATGAACTACTTTCTTTCTCACCCCTGCTGGAGCCTAAGAAGCAAGGGGCTTCTCATTGGGCACTCAGAGTTTACTGCCTACTTATTTCTTTTTTTCAACTTCATCAAAAAATCCTTCAGGACAAGAACTGGTTGTTTCCCATTTTGTTCCCCACAATGTCTAGGTCGGTGCATAAAGCAAGCAAGCCCTCAACAATACTTGTTGGTTGACTGGTGGTCCATTAGCAGAAGGCAGTTTCCGGGCAGTGTTCCCAATCGTCAGTCTCCTTACTTTGAAGTGGGAACTTTTGCCAAGAGTACCAGGTTGTTTTGAGAAAATAGGGCAGAAACAGAACGAAAATAACGGGAAGCTTAGGAAAAGACTTTATACGGAAATAGTAACCCATAAAGAAGGTACGATATTACATGAGCAATTGTGAGAACTCAAGCTTTTTGTCAAATTTACCTTTTTTAATTTATCTATTAACTAATTATTGCAAATATAGTGCCAAACACTAGGCTAGGCCCTGGAGAATATACAAAAAAGGGCCAAGTTGCTGTCCTCAGACCCAGGGGTGTTCCAGCTGGTTAGAAGGATCATATACACTCAGTGTCACCATCTGTGTTTTCAGGATTACAGACACACCTCTCCTGTGGCACCCACTTTGTGTGGTGAAAATCTTTGTGTCTGTCTTCTTCCCTAGATTGTCAGATCATCTGATCATCCTTCTGTGCTTTCATCTTAAGTGTCTATCGTGGTATTTGGTGTATAACCAACGCTTACAGCATGTTTGAGTTTAATTAAGTTGATGCTAGAAACAGTTGGGCAATGTAAGATAATTACTGAGTACCAAGTGTCAGAACCGGGAGCACTATAGAATTCAAGGAAGAGAGGGTCTCTGGAGTATCAAAGACCAGGCTTGGTGAACTTCTGGAAGGGAAAGCTGCATTAAGAAAGGTATGGAGACAGGGGAGGACAAGGTTGGCCAGCAAATAGTGAGTAGACTGGGCCACAGAGGGCGGTGGTGGAGAATTCAGGTGAAGTTGCGAGAATGGTTAAGAGGACATGAGATCATTTATGAGTTTGAGAACTACACAATAAAAACTTACTGGGAGGATGTGTCAGGCATGTGAGCTCAATTAGAGAACTGCCAGACTAGAAACAGGGATGACATTTATTAGGTAGGAGACTGTGGTGAGTAATGTGTTTGGAATAGGGACATGGCAATAGAATTAGGCATGAAATCTAACAAAAGTTTGAAGGAGGTCTCATTACATGCTCACCAACTCAGGTATACAGAATGAAGACAAGATGTGCAGCATCCAGGATGACTTCCAATATTTCAAGCCAGCCTCCTCCTGAGTTATGGTAACATTGGTAACTATGACGTGGTTCTGTTAATGGGTATATTAATGAGTCCTGGCTCCTAACTCAGATGTCTAGAAAATGTCTAGAAGCCATGCTGAGGGCCCAGTTACTGAGAAGCCCTTGGAGCCAGACCTTCTTAGCTGTTTGCCAGTGGGCAAGTTATTTACTGAATCTTTTTTTCCCATTTGTGGAGAAAGTAACATTTTACTGTGGCATTAAAAGGATTAAATTAGAATTATGGGAATGTGCTAGAAATGTAGCAGCAGGTACATGGCAAATTCTAGTTTTTATGGTCTCACTTTCTCAAACCCAAGAATTTTTATGCTTATCTTTTAAATCACTACGTTATTTTTGCCTGCAAGCAGAAGAAAAGAAAAAACACAAAACACACTCAGCTGGCTTATTACTGTTTTGTGTGTGCGTGTTTCCTTATGGTTAAACATTACATACAAGTTACTAACTCTCAGAGCCAGAAATTCCAGGATAGAGCGGCTCCAGGGTTAGTTAATTTGGCAACTCAGCTGCCAAAGTCAAGGACTCCAAGCCCCTTTCCTTTTTCTTTTCTGCCATTCTCAGTCGGAGGCTTGAGACTGGGCTGCCACAAGTCGGCTGCCCCCATTCCAGGCATTTCAGGAAGACGTGACAAAACTCATTTGTCTTAAGAGCAAGAAATGCTTTCCTTTTCCAGAGCCTTCCCTTTCCCAGCAAACCTCTCGTGTTTCCTTGGCCAGAACGTGGTCACATACCCACCTCACCTCAACACCAAACACAGGCAAGGGGAAGGTGACCACCATGCATGGCAGACCAGTCGGGATTTATCCCCGAATCATGGAAGAACGGGAATTAGCCATTGGGTAGCCAAGGCTTCTCATACTGAATGTGCATAGGAATCGCCTGGGCATCTTGCCAAAATACAGAGTCTGATGTAGTTAGTCTGGGTGGGCCTGAGGTTCTGCATTTCTAACAAGCTCCCAGGGGAGGCCACTGCTGCTGTGGGACTGGATGGTGAAGCTTTGAGTAGAAAGGGGAAAGGTGACCAGGAAGGTAAGCTGGAGCACCTCCTCTGCCACCTCGTGGAACGCTATTCTAATCGCGGCACCCACCACCTGTATTCTGGAGCAGCTGCCGTAATGACAAATGACCTTTCAATTTACAAAGCCTAGTTCTTACACCATTGATTTTTGTTTTCTTTACATATTTTCCTCATTTTCATATGACAATGTCAAGCTTAGAGAAGTAACTTCTTAAAGATCACATAGCTAGCTAGGGAGAGGCAGAATTGGAAATCAAATACAGGTTTTCTCAACTAAGCCTCTTCATTCTGCTGCTGTGTATGGTCTTCTCTGGAATCGAGTTTTCCATTGCCTGCCCATTGCCTGAATCTACGATCCCCTAGACGGAGGTGCTGTTCTGAGTGCTTTGTGTACTAGCCCATTTCACAGACTGGTTAGATGACTTACCCAAGATCACATAGCTAGTAAGTGTTGAAGTTAGATATAAATCCAGAGTCATTGAATCAGAGACAAGAAACAGAGATTCTGCCGCGTATCTCTCCATCCTTGCTAACCAAGAGTAGCATCAGCCCCAGTGCTAAATTCCAACTAATATTTTTTCCTCCCCCTTTGCAGGGTGTTTCTGCGGCCTGGGACTGGTTAGCACCAACAAGTCCTGCTCGATGCCACCCATCAGCTTCCAAGACCTTCCCCTCAACATCTACATGGTCATCTTTGGCACAGGCATCTTTGTCTTCATGCTCAGCCTCATCTTCTGCTGCTATTTTATCAGGTAGGTGCCTTGCTGCCTGATCTGGGGTGGGAGGAAAAAGCCAGGGGGAGGGCAAGTCAAGCGAGGCTCCCACAGTAGAGTTACTCACTTCATTACTACTGGGGCTGCTGCTTTGAGGACATGGCTTAGCCTGCCCTTCTCTGGGCCCCTGAGGCCTGGTGTTTCTATTTACATCAGCCTATCAAGTTGTCCCAGAACATGTAAGTTCACCATGTGCGGAGCTGTAGCCTGCCTGTTGGCCAGTTATCCTAAAGTTGCCTAGAACATCCTGTCTGACAGAGGCTCGTTGTAACACAGTTGGTGGTCACTTAACTGCCTTTCACTCCTTCCCACTCAGACCCGCTGGGTGTCCAGGGACAGAAGAGTGGGCATCACTTACACCAGTGGCATGTTCTTTTGCCCTCTGGGGAAATCCTGTTGTCAACCCTCCCAGTGCTAATATTAGCAAACTGATGTCTGGAGAGCAGCTTGTTTATCCTGCCTCGGGAGTTATTTTTTCAGAGTGACAAAAAGTTAAAATGGTACTTACTCTTAATTGCTTAGAGGTCCAGGCAAGGATTTGAGGTTGGCAGGGCTAGCCAAACTCCAGAGACTGTTTCTTCACCTCCTGTTGAAGGACATGGGAACTGATGGTGGTTTTCTACAGAAAATTTTGGGTATGACTGGTAGTTAGAATAGAAATCAAAATAGTGTTTCCTACTGGGGAGTGCTTCTGGTGTTGGCAGTTCTTCATGATATGAGATTGGCCTGTACGTGAGAGGAGCCCTGGTGGTGCCGTGGTTAAAGTACTCGGCTGCTAACCAAAAGGTTGGCGGTTCAAACCCACCAGCCGCTCCATGAGAGAACGATGTGGCAGTCTGCTTCTGTAAAGATTTATAGCCTTGGAAGCCTTATGGGGCCATTCTACTCTGTCCTACAGGGTCGCTATGAGTTGGAATCGACTCGATGGCAGCGAGTTTTTTTGCTCCTGTACAGCCAAGGAGTGTTAAACATCCTTGGCCATTAGAATATGCTAGTAGTCCAGCACTAAGCAAGAGGCACAGTGGGCATACCCTATTTTCGCTGCTAACAGTGTAGTAAGGATCAGCATGAATCCAGTTCTCAAAAACCGGATATGGATCCAGTTCTCACCTTCCCACTTCTCCATCCTCCCACCAGCTACCAACACAGCTCACTCTCCCCGACCCCAGGTACCCAGGGCTGGGTCAGAGCTCACAAGTTAGAAAGACACCTTCTTTCAGACTGGCAAATAGGCAGACACCAGTCCCTACTGGCTCTCACTGTCCCAGTGGGTTCGTTAATTCATTCAGAGAATGACTCACAGACGTAACAGAGAGTACTTCATACTCACAGCTACAGCTTTACGACAACCAAAAAGGATACAAATAAAGAGACGTATGGTGAGGTCTCGGAAGGATCGCAGCACAGAGCTTTCATGTCCAGTTGAGGGGCACACTTTCCTCTCCCTGAATAGTCACCAACCAGGAAGCCCCCTCTGAGCCTCAGGGCTCAGGGCTCTTATAGGCCTCATCACATAGATTACATCATGCCTCATGAGACTGAGTTAGCATCTGGCCCCTAGTTGGTCCCTCTTGGTCTGGTCAGCCCTCACTCATTGGCCTCAGGTGTTGGTCGGGCTCAAAAGAACCAAATTGCTTTCTGCAAGGTGATTCCACACTTCAAAAGTCCCCAGAGCCACTATGAAGATGACTCCCTCCCTTCCAAATGCCTGGCTGAGAGCCACAGAGTATACATCAGCTGGAGTCTAGACCAGAGTCTGATCAAACCATCTAAGAATTTGCAACAAATAAGGGAAAGTAGCCCAGCCTCCCTACTGAGTAGTCCCGGGCTCCCTACTGACCGGCTGGCTTTGAGTGCTTTAGATATAAGGAGGCTAAAGGGAAGGCTTGCACTTGTCCATCTCCTCCAAGGCTGGAAGAGTTCCTTGTGAGAAGTGGAAGTGCACCTGGGCACTGCTCCGGTGCTCCTAGGCCAGCTACCTTTGACCTCGTCTCCCTCAGAACTTTTCAAACCAGTCAGTAGGACTGGAATTTTCCACTTACATGTCTGTGCAGAAGATTGTGGTTTGTTTTTCCTCCTGCACAGTTGAGTCTGAAATTTGCATCTAACTATTTAGTGGATTGGGCCCTGGTGGTGCAGTGGTTAAGAGCTCAGGCTGCTAACCAAAAGGTCGGCAGTTAGAATCCACCAGCCACTCGTTAGAAACCCTATGGGGCAGTTCTACTCGTCCTATAGGGTCGCTATGAATTGGAATCGACTCGACAGCAACGGGTTTATTTAGTGGAGGTGAGGGTCGATTTCTGGTTCAATCTCCCTCCACCCACTACCCCAACCCCCTTCCCTAGAACTGAGTTTTCTTTCTCAAACTCTTCCGTCTTCCCGCCCCTCCCCCTCCCCCCTCCCCTCAATCAAACAATTCATGCAATTCCCCGGAGACTGAAGGTGAAGACATACCAAAGATTTATTTACGATGAGGCTTGGCGGAGTCTGTAAAAACCAACTGTTTGGTGTCCCCCGGCTACCCACACACAGGCACACACATGCCAAACTTTAAAGGTGGCCAAGAGAACAAAATTTAGAGGAGATCACTCTGGTCCAGGAAGCAGGTAACCAGGGTTCATTTCCTAATTCTGCCACTAATAGGTATGACCTTAGGTTTTTAGCTACTTTTTACCAAATGCGTTCTGCGTACCAGGCATTGTGGTCAACATTTTGCAAAAACAGTTAGCTCATTTAATCCTCAAAACGACTGTCTAATTTAGGTATTAGTCCGCTTTATAGATCAGGAGATTCACGCTCAGACAGTTAAGAACATGCTCCAGATCCAACAGAGCAAGGGAAACAGAGGTGGGCTAACCCGGTAACACTCCATCTTTCAAGTACCTTCCATGTGGTTGGCTTCTGTGATTCTTACTCCTTGAATGGGAGGTAGGGAAGCAACTGTGGCATTTATGGCCACCCCTTCCAGTTGGGGATTGGGGTTCTGAAGAAGAGCAGGTTGGGGAGCTGTGCATTGCTGATTTAATATTTCTCTCTGGCAGGAGTAAAAGAACAGACCAGTAACCACATGATCCCAAAAGCTACCCCTAATGAGGCAGTGTCCAGCACCACCTGTCCCTTCTGCAGTAATCTGCTCGTTCAACACCCTGCCCTCTATGTTCTATAGCCATTGACCCTGGAGTTGCTGGGTTCCAGAGACCCGCTGGTATATGACAGCCTGTGTGTGACTATATATAGAAAGATACACAAGCACAGAAGCCACTTCCTCTCCCTGCTTCTCAGTTTCCTCTTCAGCCAAAATTGGCCCATGACCACTGCTCCCGACCTGGTGAGCTCATCGCCAAAGCCAGCCTCCGCTCCCAGCTGCCCCTCACTCATTCTTTCCCCTTTTCTCAGAGTGGACCTCTGCCCTACACAGGATGGAGGGGACGGTGAAGTAGGAATCGGCAGGAAAGGAACGATTATTTTCAGGATCTGCTGCATTGTTTGTTTCAAAAGGGAAAAGAGACAAGGCAGAGCCCCCTGGCACTGGCTAGAAATGGTCTCATTGAAATCAGGGTATTTTTAGTTGCTTTGCTCATCCAACAGCTGAGAAGGCCACCTGTCCCAAGTTGCTGGCACTGCCTCCCCAGCTGGAGGGCCCGTGGTCTTTGCTTTTTGCTCTGTTTCCCTTGTAACCATTTTGGCCCTGTTTTCATCACAATCTCTATCTCCCTGAGCTGGGAATCTATATGCACGCTGGAGGTGCAGCTCTGAATCCCTTCCCTGTTCTGAGTCCTGGGCTGTGAGAATCAAGGCTTCTGGAGGATTCTTGGGTAAGACCATTCAAGGGGGAGCCTAGCAGATAAGAGGCATGAGGGTCGGGGAAGAGTGAACCCTACCTAGGCAGTGGTTACAGCAAGCAGAAAGGCAAGCATGTAATTACAGCTATGTTGCGAATGAGGCAATTGAGGCTCCAAAGAGATGTGGGACATTCCCTAGTTCTCCCAGACAGAGTTGAAAAGTGACTCTTCACCGCTTTCTTATATGCTCTGGACGTACCTCGTAATAGAGTGAAGGTGTCTTTCTCCCTCAGAAGGTGGCCGTGAGCTCTGACAACAAGAACGCTCTCTTCCATCCCCAGCCTAACTCAGTGTTAGGTGGATAACAGTTGCTCATTTAGGCACTGGGTGCATCTTGCCCTGCCCCTCTCATTTGGAGGCTGGGGCAAGGGGATGAGATAAAATACATGTTTATATACACCTTTCTTGGACCAAAAAGTTCTCTGCAAAGTTAGGGATGAAGGACAGTGGGAGCACTGATCAGGTTTTTCGCCCAGCCGTCAAATGAGCGGGAAGGATCTAGAGGAGAGAAGGGGTTGGGGGCAGGCGTGCACGTGCAGCATATCATGTGCTACCCCAGCCAAGACAGCCAGATGTGGCGCCCAGCCCCCAATCCCATGGCAGGAGTCCACTTGGACTAGAGTTCTTGAGAGGCTCCAGAACATAGTACCTTGCCAGGTCTCCTGACTTCCTAACAGGGACGACTGAGGTGGCCGGCAGCCTGCTCTGCTCCCTGGACTGGGCTTTGGGCTTGGGCTCTGCCTGCACCTTCTGCCTCTTCCACCACTTGGCTTTGGCAGCAGTTTCTGTGTCTTTGGTTTTGTCTATGGAGCATCTTACCTCACCTGCCTTGATTGGGGCTTTCCATGTTTGAGGTTCTTTGCCTCTAACTCAGGTCAATGGTCTTTTGCCAGATCATAAATATTGCAGGCTTTGCAAGACATACAGCCTCTATCACAGCTGTTTAACTCTACTGTTAGGTTGAGAAGGCAGCCATAGGCAATACGTAAATGAAGGAGCATGGTTGTGTTCCATTAAATTTTATGGACACTCGAGTTTGAATTTCATACAATTTTCACGTGTCATGAAATGCTATTCTTCTTCTTTTCTTCAACCATTTAAAAATAAAAATCAGTCTTATGGGCCCTACAAAAATAG